CACTAGATGGCATTACCAAAGCAGTGTATAAAAAAAAGTGTGCAAAAGATCTTATACTCTTCCTCTTACTTTTCCCCACAAGACAAATACTAAACATCATATAAAGAATCAAGCTTACTTGACTACACAAAAGGATATCTAATAATTCTATTCAACCAAGGAATAACTCTTAAATGCAAGTTTCTTAGTCTTTCATAGGAACTTGGCACAATAATGACATCTCTAAATATGAAACTTCAGTCAACCCCTTTTGTATTCTTTCTATTTCTTTTGTTCAAAGAAGATAATATATTAATTGTGCATAAGTGTTTGTATATTCATTCTTACACTTGTTTGAGGAAATTACAATGTGTCCACAATACTATTAACATTATATATATATATATATATATATATATATATATTGTGTGTATTTAGGCAGCATTTTTTCATTCATACATGTTTCATTAAATAATATAGACAAGTATTGTCTATTTATTTTATGTAAATTCTTTTCATAACGTCTGATAAGCTTAATAACATTATTATTAAATGAAGAAAGAAAATCACAATATTGATACATATTTTTTTTAATCCAATCTAAGCTTTCGACTTACACAAGCCATTATCAAAGATGACAATTACTGTACAATACATTAAGCAATAAACGGACAAGAATGTGATGATAGTCTGTTTCTGTTTACATAGATGATTTTTAAGCAATGATAATCACGTGCATATAAGACGCTAGAAGCGAAAATGTTTGACGTCACAAGCTGCTGTGCGATTTTTGCTTCCAGCATCTTATATGCACATGTTTATCTTTATAACAACATTTTCCTATTTTGTTTAGCTTTAACAACAATGATGGCGATAATAAAAAGCAATGCACAATGCTTTTTTGGCCTCATGTTTTCCACCAACATGAAGTGGAGTGACTATATCGAATCAATAGCTGCATCTACTACAAGTTGGGTCACTGCCAGAAAATTCTCATTATAATCTATCTTGTACATTTACAAATATTTCATCTGTTAGTGCATTGAATACTGTTGCCATATCCGATTTGGTGCTCCTGCTGTGCACCTTAAAATTCTTGACAAAATCCAAAGACAGATCTGCAATGTAATTGACCCTGACTTGGCATCTCTATTTCAGTCACTTTCTCACCAACGTGATGTAGCTTCACTCTCTTTTCTACAAATAATTTCATGGCAACTGTTCAGATGAGTTTTTTCCCTGGTGTCCCAATTACATGAATTTAAGTGTGCTGCTAGATTAGCTAAATAGGCCCGACCCTTTTACTGTTGAAATAGCTAAATGCAACTGCCACTTCTACTCCAACAGTTTCTTTTCTCACTTCCCACCTCTGGAACTCACTCCCATTTCCTTGCTTCCCTGATAAAACTACAAACTTCAAGATTTTAAAAACAATGTCAATTGCCATCTTCTGTCTTCTTGAACCCAGTTCATCTTTTGTCCTTTCCTCAATCCTCCCTATTGTACATCTCCTTTTTCACCTTCACTCCCTGTAACATCCTGTGCATTAGTGATATTACCACTTTGTTTGGAGTGAAACAATTAAAAAAAAAAAAAAAAATGAAAAATTAGAATATGAGAAATTAACTTTTATGTCACTGAGGAGTTGTAATTTTTAAGTGATAAAAAAGGAAAGAAAAATAAAAAATTACCATAAAATAAAATAAAAAAAAAGTAGAATTCAACCTGAAATTCATAATTTCAACATTTTCTTTTTCTTAAGAATTAAATTTTTTTTAACTTACTAAAAAAAAAAAAATATTAACAGCCATCTTTAGTATTTGTATAAATTAACATTTCCTAGCAACCCATCATACTGTCGTTGCCATCTTTCAAATCACATGATATTGACAAGCGTCGATCAATAATATCTATGAAACTTCTTTCAAATTAAAGAAAAAAATACTGGGGAAAATAAACATGTTAATCATATGTAATCCTAAAAGATTATTTCTTATTCATATTCCAGTTTGGTCAATAATTGAAAAGGACTCATAACTTTTAAATAGCAATGTCGCTATGAATATAAACCAGTATTAGAATCAGAAAAATGATCCTCCCCCACCTATACTTTTTCTAAATCTGACTTAAGAAATTAAAACCTAGTCAAACACTGAATAATTTTCCAGTCGATTTTTCTAACATTCAAAGTTGACGTCATTGAAATTTAAATTTATTGTAAAAATAACATATGACCAAGTTAAAGATATGTTGCAGAATTACAAGGAAAAAAAAAATTATTTCAAGTTTCACTTCTATTGGTTGCTGAGTTGGTGAGGTTGGTTACTACATAAAAGTTGAAACTGACAATAGCTATCAGTATCATAAAATCTACCATTATAAAAAAAACAAACAAAAAAACCCCAAAAAAACACACACAAAGGTTAGAAGAGAAAAAGAAGCTTCTTCAGATTATGTAAGTAAAAATATTACATGCAGAGACATACATAAAATCTCTCCCCACTCCAAATGAAGGGAAAAAAAATTAAGAAGTGTTTACCATATAATCTCACATGCTGCAATGGTACCAGTACCAAATATAAATTGAGATAGAAAAAAAAATGTAAAAAAAGAACATCTTTATACTAGTTCTTTGGAGTGAAGAATTCTTGAGTGCGACTTGTAGTTGATCAAGTTCTGTCATTCTCACTCAGGTAAGAACCAGGATTTTAAACATTGATTTTCTTTTAAAAGCAGAAAGGCCCTCCCATTGGCACAGCACAGTGTTTCTTACCTTATTATTCACTGTTATTCAGCCTTCTGTCATACTATCTAAAAACACAACTATTGCAAAGATTAGTAAGCCTATCTCACACACCAACAGACCATTTTGATTTTTAATTAGGTGCAAACTAGTGTGGCTTTGTGTCAGATTTAACCAAGATCTGAGATTTATTTTATTAATTTTAAAAATATAAAAAAATATACCAAAGAAAAATGCTTATGGTTTGGACTTGTGCATATTTCTTATCCATACCAATGGTCAGCAAAAAGCTAATTTTCAAAACAAGTCAGAAGGCCCTGCATTACTTGGAAGTGGAGTATTTTTTTCTACCATGTTCCAGAAAAAGCACAACTTACATGACCAACTGTAATCTGATATACATGTCTGACTATGAGAGGACTCCTGCATTTAAGTAATTGTTCCATGAATTTAGAGTAACTTGAGCAAGTCTAAAGCCAAATCTAATAAATTATTTTAGAGCCAATACGGAAAAACTAAAAGCTTCCTATTCAGACTTCAAATGATTCACCAGACAGCATCCAGATAAGTTGCTATACTTTGAAAACAAACCTTTCTTAAATTTATTGACCAATTAAAATGCTTTCTTTCAAAAATGGGGGTGAGAAAAAAAATTGCTTATTTGTTCCTACTCCTTTATGTGCTGTGTCCCCTCAGTCAGGATGTAGGTGATCATGGCTCTCCAGTTTCCTGTCCTTTGTAGCTCTTGTCTTTTTGTTCTTTCTGCTCAACTCTTTTCCGCTATTCATTTACTCAAGCTAACTAAATATGTTATGCATGTCCCCCCCCCCCATCCGTCTTGCCTTCAATCTGTCCTGTGAGTACCAGATTTTTTGAGCCCTCTTTCCTTATGCAGAAATTTCAACTGTCACTTCCTGATGTTAAATTTCCTTTTTGCTTCCATTTTCTCTGATCCTACTTAATCTTATATAAAGAAAAGATGTCCAGTTCTTTCAGTGTCTTTTGATGTAATTAGGCATATACCCAATTATATATATTACATGCTCTCAATAGACATACAGGCCACCTAGTTAAAAACTGTCCACTTTGTAACATATCTAGAGCATACATGCATTCACAACATTGGTATGGATATTTTTCTGTATGGAATAGAATGTGACAAGTTTGGAGTTTAATGTGAGATTTCCAAAAACCCATACAAAAATTGTTCAAGTCCTCTCATCACTTCCTCTTCTGGAGATGCCTAAAGCAATAAGTAATGACCCCAGACACCTCCTGTGGTGAGACACTGCCTGGGGGACTAATTTCAACTTGCCCAGTGTATTGCCAGCATTGGTATGACTTCCTTTCTCCAGCAACTGACTGTAATTTTTGTTCATAAGAAATATACATTTCATTTCACAGTCTTCAAAGAACAATATTTTGGATCATTTGCTAAAAATAATTCTTGCAACTTTACTCAGAATCACCACTTTGTCTTCTCTTTCTTTTGTTCACCACTGTTTGAATTTCAAGCTTTTATTTTTACTGTTTTGACATGGATCTATTCATTCTGGGGCAGAAGACAATTTATCTAGAATCAGATATAAGTGATTGCCAACAACAAAGCCTAGTTAACCTTTTGGAGACAAAGCCTCATTTGGAATTTTAGTACCAAGAAAATACTGAGCCCTTTCCACAAAAAAAATTTGATATAAAATCACAGAACAGAGCAGATTATCATAGAAACTGCCTTTGAAAGGCCCAAATGTGCAAGAATTGTGGGAAGCAATCTCATTGATTGGTATGAAGACCAGCCATCTAATCTTAAGGCTTGTATTATTGGACTGATGGACTGATCCAGTTATCTTCTTCATTCAACTTTTCGGTCGATAGATCGGTCATGTCATCTCTCTGATGTGAAAAATAAAAAGAGGTCTTTAGTTAAAGCTTTATTCAACCAAAATGATTTTTTGGCTTCTGTTTACCAAACACAAGACTGGTTTTTAATAATGTGGAATATGACATTCCACTCCACAGTTGTATGGGTGAAGAGTCATATCACCACCCATCTGATGCCAAGAACCTGGTACACTTTCACAAAAGAGAAATTAGATTTGATACCTCATCTGTGAAGCAAGACAAAATATGTAAACCAAATAACAAGAAAAAGAAAAGAATTTATCAGCTAAAAAACATAATTGAAGTAATTTCAGACCCAAATAATTGATGCATAGAAAGAATGCAAAATGTGCATAAATTTATTCACAGGAGAAAGGATGAAAATTGCCATACTCACTGTTCCATTCTCTCACGATTAAAAGGAGCTGTGAAATAGTTTGGATCAGGCTTAACAATTTCTGGATCCAGTTCAAATGGATTTGGACATTTGCTCCAACAGGATTCACTTTCGACCATGTCATTTTCCTAGTTTGAGAAAAGATAAAAATCATATTAAAATGTCTGAGATTGGTAGATTTTCTTTTTTGCTTATGAAAAAATTCTTTATGTGCTGTATCTCCTCAGAATGTAGGCAATCATAGCTCTCCACAATTTCTTGTATTTTGCAGCTCTTAATTTAAAAAATTTTTTTTTTCTTTTATTTCTCCTAAACCCTATTCCCTCATCCATTTACTTAAGCTCACTAAGCACGTTATGTGTTGTTTTCCTCTGTCCCTCTTGCCTTCAATCTGTCCTGTGAGTATCAGATTTTCCAATGCCTCTTTCCTCCTTACGTGTCCTAGAAATTTCATCCATCTCTTCCTGATGTTAAGTATAAGTTTCCTTTTTATTTCCATTTTTTTCTAAAACTTCATCACTGCTCACATATTGCATACATGGTATCCTCATCATTCTTCTGTAGAACTACATTTCAGTTGCTTCAATTCTCTTCATCAGTGAGGTGATTGTCCAGCATTCACTGTCATATAGGAGGACAGATATCACATAACAGTTCAGTATTCTTTTCTTTATTTCTAATGAAGTTTTTCTGTTTCATAAAACTCTTAGCTTTTGGAATGCATCTTTGGCTTTCCAAGTACATCTTCGGATTTCAGTGTTGCACTTTCAGGCCTCTTTCACAGATACTTCAATTTTTGTACTGGTTTGATTTTGGTATGTCAGATTTGTAATTTGCATTTTGGCCTCATCTTTTTGCTAACAACCATGCATTCTGTCTTGCAGTTTGATAAAAGTGAGAGTAGATGAAAACATCACTTTATAAGAGAATTAAGTTTCAATATTTTATGACCAAATAGAATGGAATTTTTTCTCAATTATGAACACATTTCTTTAAAACATTTCCATCAAAGGAAAACTTAAAAAGATGTCATCAGTATCTGGTGGGAGAAAAGTGAACTAATTTTTATAATCTATTCAAAATGAACAAAAAAGAAACATTGCACAAAAGTGGATGACATTTTTTTTGCTTTTAATTCAATATAGGTTTTACACAATTATTAGAAGCTAAAGATTTCAAGAAAAACATCATCTAAGTTACATGAACAAACCAAAATCTTTATTTTGTTAATATTTTAACAAATTAAATTTATATGGTCAATTAATTTGGCTTGGAAGATATTGAGTGTAATTTAACAAAAAAAATTATTAAAACTAAGTGACAGGCTTTCATATTGAGACAATTATCAATTATTTTGTTATAATTGGCTCATTTGTTACAGTTGATTTGGAAAGTAGGTGAAAGAAAGTCATTAAAAGATTTTGATTTTCAAATATTATATTAAGCTTAAAAAAATTCTATAAATTTTTAAACATGAATTGAAGAAAGGTTTGGTATGAAAGTTATTAAAAATTGCCATATCTGTTAATTCTAACTAAGTTATCCTCATGAAGATAATGACAGCATCAGTGAATTTATTTATGCAATTGAGTCAATCTGTAGATTCTGTGAATTATTGATTTTGTTTTTTATGACTTATCAACCCTTTATGGGTTATTTAAATAAACATATTTTAGATTGTAAGAATCATTACTTTCTTTTGCAAGTGAATATTGCATTATCACTTTCGTGAATAACAATGATTTTTCGTGTCCTATTTAACCCATAGCTGGGGGAAATGGTATTTGTGCATAACTGAATCTAAAGAAATTTACTGGAAGTTGATCTCATTTATCAGATTTCTCATTCTGATCCACTATCCAATACCACTAAACACACACCCAGATTCTTTGGCGGACATGAGACAGAACCTGAGACGAGCACAACTGGTCGCGACTTGCTTTGTCCCCGCCAAAAAAGAGCCCGTATTTGCTTAGCATGTAAAGCTACTGCAGTTGAAATGAGGGAGAGAAAAAAAACACTTACTGCTCTGACGTAATCCATCCTCGGCCAGATAACGTAAAAGAATGAGGGGGGACTGGCATCGCATTTTTATCCAATAACGATGCAATGCATTATGGGACATGGACACAATGAATTATGGGATCACAGGAAGACGCAAGGGATTATGGGTACATGAACAACTATAAAAACAACTACTTTTTTCCAAGTCGGCGAGTTCTTCGAGGGACGTTCACGGTTGACGGCTAGAACGGGCAGTTAGTGTGATTTGGAGACAGAACTCAGGAAGGAACGACTCAAGTTTGAAATACCAGCTGGGAGAGCTTGAATTTACTCGCTGGTTACTGTTTTCTTCATTCGCCTCAACTAAATACATATTTGATGAGGAATAAAAGCATTTAAAAAGCTACAGTTTCAATACATGTGGTGGCCCTATAATCCACATGGATTACCGGACTTGTTCTGTGACAAGTCAAAAATACATTGATTTTGATAGGTATCTATACTTTTGTCATTTTTAGTTGGTGCTTCTCACAATTTTTCTAAAGCCATCAGTCTACAGCAGTGGATAATTGGTGCAGATTGAAAATAAAGAATAAGCTCTCAGTGAGATTGAAACTTCTATTCCTTTTGTTTCAGGGAAGCTTGCTCAATGTCCAACTGCTTTAATCACAAAGCAGCAATGAAACTGGCACCATACAAAAGACCAAATGTAACCTGTAATTACCATTCTACAATCTTTATCATTACTGTATTTGTTTTTGTACTAGTGATATTAGTAGCAATAGTACTTTTTTCTTTTATTAGACTTCTTTTTATCATGATTTTCATCCTGTACAAGGCCTGGGAGTCACTTGAGGGAGAGGGTTATAGAGAAAGAGGCATGGTTTATGCAAATATGTCAAGAAGATAACAGTCAAATCTAGACTTAAACAGGTTAAGATTTTAGTGATTGCAGGAAGCATCCTCTAGGGAGTTGGGTCCACAGAGCAGTAGTTTATGGGAAGAAGCTGCTCAAGTAGAATTTACATATCACCAATGAAGGGAATGGTGGATCTCAGCTGTGAAGGTTAGGACTTGTGGGACTAAGGAATGTAGTTCATTTGGACATTTTCCATGGAAACAGCAATAGAGAAATGAGAGGTTTGCAATATTTTGTCTGTGGGGAAAGGAATGGTAGGTTGGAAAATAATTTGTCACCCTCAAGAACATGGAGATACTTTTGGACTATTGGGACTGGAAAGTGAAGACACGGCATCTCCTACCCATATATGGCAGCAGTGTTTCATTTTCAGCTTGATCTAGCTCTTGTAAAGGTAAAAGAAAGCAGGAGGAGTCAGGTACTTATTGGAATGGTACAGGGAACCGACCATTTTTCCAATCTCTTTAGTGATGGATCATATTATGAGTTCCACTCAAAGTCTGGTCCGATTTTAAGTCCCAATAGGTGCTAAAGGCATGGGGCCACTCTGAGGGAACATCTGCTTATTGCAGTTGGTGATATGTAACATTGTCATCCAGTCATTTTGATCCAGATTTCATTTTGTTCTTAATTTTCAGTTGCTTTTTATCTCAACATAAATCTATGTCAATGAGCAGACAGCAGAGGACTGGTAATAAGGGGACAAGTTTTTGATGAGGGATATTTCAATCATAGCTGTAGATTGATAGCCAGGGTTAAGTTGTGATAAAAAGCAACTCAGACTAAGGATGGAAGAAAATTCAAATTGATGACAATACATCATCCAAGAAAGAAAGAAAAAGAAGGATAAAACTGCAACTATAAATGTAAAAGTTGGTTTCATTTCTAATAAAAAAATATTGAAAAGTAAAAAAAAGATTCTGACTTGTTTAATGTAAAAAAAAATCATCAGGAATTTCTAGGGTGTTAAAATTTATGAATCTGTTTTGATGCTCCTGATATATATAGGATGTTCCAATAACTTAATTCACATGTAAAATCGGTCTAAGTTTAAGCATCTAATGATTTTTTTTCTTTCAGATTTGACAACTTAAGTTTTTGGAAATTTTAACTATGGAAAGATTAACAATAAAACAATGTGTTAAAGTTATCAAAGCCTATTACAAAAATGGATGTTCAAATTTATAAATATACGGCCCAATGATTCTGCTAGCAGAAAATGCACACCAAACAGTGATCTTTTTTGGATGCAGCGGCCTTGGATTTTCATGTGACAATTCTGCTTATTAACAAATCCACCAAGATGAAAATGGGCTTCATCTTTAAAGAGGATTTTTTGCAAAAAATCTTCATTGGCTTGTCTTTGCTTGTGCACCCAAGTGATGAATGTATGGTGCTCCAAAAGGTCAGTAGATTTCAGTTCTTGTGTAAATTGAATTTTGTAAGCATGTAGAGAAATCTTTTGTCAAAATTTGATGTAAAATTGTTACAGAGAGGTTTAATTCCTGCATCGCAATGATGAATAGAGGTGTCTGGATTTATGGCCACATTCTCGTACAATGCAGCAATGTTTTGAGCTGAACAGCATAAATGAGCACACAATGGTGTTTTCATATCTGCCACCAACCAAGTTTGTTTGAATTTACAAACAATTTTTCCAAATGCAGTCTCAGTTGGTTGATTATGTTGATCAAAAAAATTGTGAAGTGCGTGAAATGCATTTCTGTTTGAATGTCCATTTTCATGATAGTCGTTGATAACTTTAACATGTTGTTTGATTGGCAATTTCAATCATGGAAAGATTAAGAAAGTCTTAAATTGTTAAATCTGAAAGAAAAAAAAAAAATTAGACACTTTTAAACTTAATTCACATTTAAAATCACTCCAAGTTATTGGAACACCCTATATTTAAAGATTCTTGATAAAATCCAAAGAATTTGCAATATTATTGATCCTGATCTGGCATCTCAACCAGTCACTTTTCCACCACGATAACGCAGCTTCCCTGTACCTTTTCTATAAATACTTTCATGGCAATTGTTCTGAGGAACTTTCCTCTATGGTACTTTGCATTATGAATTTAAACACAGTACTAGATTGGCAGCAAGGTCTCATCATTTTACAGTTGAAATGGCGGCTAGATGTAACCATAAATTCTATGCAAACAGTTTCTTCTATTGGAATTCTCACTTGTGGAACTCTTCTGGCTTCTTACTTCCCATTCATCTTTAATCTTCAAGAATTTAAAATGCAGTGTTAATTGTTATCTTCAGTCTTCTTGATTTTTATTCTTTTATTGCCCTCTCTCCTTAATAATAGTGTTTCTCATATTCCCTAACATTCAGTAACCTCTTGCATTCTAGTGGCTTTATTGCCTTACTCAAGATGAAATGAATAAAAAAAAAGAAAAAAAAGAATTTGTTATTTCCATGCTTTAAAAGAAAGTTAAGGAAATAAAAATCCCAAATTACCGCAAGTGGCATTTTCATTTTGAGGATTTCTGCATACTGGCACAGCACATGCCAAGGAGCATGTATCTTGACAAAATTCGTCTTTCCATCAAAAGAAACCTAAAGAAAAAAAAAAAAAAGAAAATGGCCTTCAATATTGTGGTAATGGTCACATTTTGCATTAACTGACTAAGCAGCCAGTGCTGCTTTTAGTTGAAATTTATAAAATATTTTACTTAAAACTTTTTTTTAGAAAAATAGGTTTCTTGAGTTAAGTAGCTGTTATCACTTTGTCCAGTATTGATAGGGTCTTTCTTTCTTGCTTATGTTTAAGGTAATGTGAATCGTCAGCACCTTGATTATATCATTATTTTCTCTGAGTTACATATCGTACCAATATGAGTTGTTGTTGCTGTCAAAAGCCTTCAACTGATGTGAATTCTGTTTCCTTGTACAGTTCTTTGTGAGGTACGAAGAAGGATAGTCCTTGCCAAGACCTTCACATTTCACTCACTCAAAATCATTTTTAACTATCAGTCTGATAAGGCGGTTGTATACTACTGACAATTTAGATATTTCTAAGCGAGTAAGTAATCATTCCTATTTAGAAAATTAGGTAGATTTGATTTCATTAAAAATATCAACATTAAATTTGTCAAGGTTCCACACATACACTGAACAAAATATGATCAAGAAAAAAAATACATATGTATTGACATGAAAGCAAACCATTCTTAACATACAAACATGTCAGATTCTATTTTACAATTGCACATTGCACCTAATATATAATGTGTGAATATAAGAGGGAAGGGTAAGTGCTGAAAAGTTCATTTACCTGAACAAAGAAGACCTGAAGCAAAAAATTCCATGTTGGGTTAGAATTATTTTTATTTTTAAGTGAGTTAAGCTTAGAACTTTTTAGCTCTCCACTTTATATATGAGAAAATGATATATAAATTTATATATGAAGAACAAATTTATAATAATATCAATATTAACAATTTATTAACAAAAGTGATAAAAAACAAACAAACAGGGACTAAATGAAATCAGCTAGACTATACACCCTATTCACTAAAAAAAAAATAAAAATTAATCTAAAATTTCAGCATTACTTTCCTTCATACATGTGTGTAGTCACACCAACATAAACATTGCTTTAGTCCAATGAAACATCACAAAAACACTTTTCCTCTGTATTAGAATTATATATATATATATATATATATATATATATATATATATATATATATATATGGTTGGATTGATGTGAGTTTGTGACCCTGGGTTTCACACTTTTGATGGGTTATAACTTTTGACTTTTTGTAAAATAATTGATGGGTTATAACTTTTGACTTTTTTGTAAAATAAACCCTAGGTTTCACACTTATACAATCATCAGATAAACTGTCTGATGATCACAAGAGCATGAAACCCAGGGTCACATATATATATATATATATATATATATATATATATATATATATATATATATGTATGTGTGTGTATGGCATTTAGTACAAAGGGCTCAATATCTGTGATAGAGCTAACGTGGTTGCATGGAGAGTTGTTTGTGACCTTGGGTTTCACGCTTTCACGATCTTCAGAAAAACTGGTTTACTTTTTCAAAAGTGGATCTATTTATGCTTTATTTGTATTCGATTATTTGTGTGTGGTGGAAGGGGGGGAAATTTTCTTCTGTGTTTGTTTGGTATGACACTAACATATACACGCATACATACAGGCATATACATATTAGTTCATACACTCTCATATAATCAAACACAAATAACGCATAAATAGATCCAGTTTGCCTGAAGATCGCAAAAGCATGAAAACTCTCCATGCAACCACATGTTAGCTCTGTCACAGACATTGAGCACTTTCCACTAAATACCATGCATGCACACACACATATATATATATATATATATATATATATATATATATATATAATGTGTGTCTGAAAAAATTACAACATGTCTGCTTATTTTCATCATAATCACTTATTTCCCAATTACTTTCCATAGATGGAAAGTACTTGGGAAGTAAAAGCGATTCTCATGGTTACAGTGCATTTCTTGCCTTATTTAATTGTAATATATGGAAAAATATTTGTGAATATGAAAGGTCTATGATAAAAATAAGCAAACATAATGTTTGTAATTTATTCATCAAAAAGAGAATTTGCTACCTAAATTATATATATATATATATATATGTGTGTGTGTGTGTGGCTCAAAATCAACCTACTTCTCATATACGAAGATGAAGCCTCCTGTAGGTTAATTTTAACACAATTGCCCATTACATGGAAGCTGTAATTTTTAATCCAGAGGCTCTGTTCTTCCTTAACCCATCTCCTTAACATTTACACAAATGATGACGTTGTCATAGTAATGACCATCCTCAGGACTCAAAAAAGACATTGTATCAGAGTGACATTCTGTTTTTATCACTGTAGCCATGTTTTCATTATCATGATTTCATACTTCATATTCAGCTTTACTTCTTGCTGGTTTTTTATATACAGTAATGTTTTCTGCTCTAGCTAAAGTTCTTTGGCTTGCTTTAAACATTATATACTTAAATACATTAAATCCTTTTCTTGAATATAGCAGGCTGAAATAGAAGTATGACTAATGTGCCTGGGCATCTTTTATACCACCAGACAAATACTGTGTGTTCATTACACACATAATTTTGTCTATTCATAAAAAATTACATTTAAATAAATTTTGAACTTCTTATTATATGACTGGAATTTTTTGATCTTGGAGTTTGTTTTCTCTACAATAAACTACCATCAGATAAGTTTAGTACCAGTTTAAGAACCCTTAAAAAATATTGAAATGTAAAATTATCCAAAGGAAGCTAACATGAAATAAAAAGCATTTACAGCCTGATCTTCCCTACTTATTCATAAGATATTTCATTGTTATAGTAACAACACAACATATTTGAAGACTGGCATTGAGGATAACTGTTTTGTTATTGTAACAATGGAATATCTCATTTTTAATTAGGAAAATCATGTTGTGCAAAAGATGAACATTATTTTGCACAACACTTCAGAATATTCTGATTAAAAGAAGATATACCAATCCCTCTATAAATAAATAAACACCATTTTTGACAGGTACTGTGCTATTAGTTAAAAAAAAAAAAAAAGGAAACAAATACAGAGATTTAACATTGCAAAAATAGAATATGAGTTTGAATAATATCCAAAATTACATTATCATTAATGTACTATGAGCTGAATTTTGACCTAGAAGTTTCACTGTATAATCAAGCTATGAGATTAATATCCATCAAAAAATTACTTATCAAGGAAAGAGATTATGTTGAAAAATATTTGCTGCTGTAAAATGTTTTTCTTCTTCAGGTTATGGACTTATTTAGGCTAGGTAAAATTAATGTTAAATAGTAGACGAGGCTCTTTAGCCTTGGTTGGCATTCACCAAATTCCAAACTGTGGATAAGACAAGAAACCTCTTCAGTATCATTCCCAAGAAAGCATGGCATCTCACAAGAAAAGGAATCTGTGGAGAATCATGATTAACTACATCCTGAAGTTAGTTGTGCCATATGTGATACATTGCTGGGTGATCAGGTCTCTTGATTCATGACTGACTAAGCAGAAGATTTTCATGTAGTAGGTTGCCATTTCTTTCTGCAGTAGACTGGTTTCTAACCAAGGCCACAGTATAGCTAGAAGGAGATTCATACCTTTCCCAAGGCTATTTGTGCATAAACAAATGTAAAGAACTCAACTGGAATTCGAACTCATTCTCTGATTTCTGTTATCCATTATACGACACTGCATTTCCTGCAAGGTGGATGCCATTAACAAAAAGATTTCAGACCTTTTCAGCAAGTTTTGTCTCAATCCTGTAAACTGCATACATTAAGTTATTTAAATTCCTTCTGAAAAGCAATAAATCTAATATTCTAAAAGACTCATAACAACATTAATAATCTGTCATACTAAAAGGGAATGTCAAAAAGATGGCAAGTGATACTGGGTTTCAATAGAATCATAAACATTTAAGAAAAAAAGAAAAAAAGAAAAAAAGACCGATTTCTCAACATTTACTCGTGTGAATCTGAATATTGCTTGTCATTCCCCAAACATAAATTCTGCATTGTAAATTCCTGGAAACGTCGTTATTGACTGCAGAATCTAGATGAGTGGCAAATGATTGCGCAGTTGCTGAAGGCTATATTCTAGACTTTCACATTGAATAAATTAATGCCAACCAAATACAACAGAAAGTGGAAAAAAACTCAAAATGACACATACCTGAAAATATTTATACAGATACAAATTAAAAGAATGTCTGGTAGACGAAACAAGAAAGAAAACATTTAACAGGTTTCTCTCTCAGACCATAGTGAGCAAGTTCAATATTTACTGAGAGTCCCACATCCTTGTTGCATTATTATGATAACAAGAAGAAATTTAACTCAATGTCAATCTTTGAACATAACTATAAAAATCAAATATCTAATTAGTAAGTAGGAAAGATGAAGCTTTTAATATCTGACATTTTTTTTTATTTAACCCTAGAACACTAACCATGGGTATATAGTACCCAATGCAAATTTACCAATTATTAATTACAATATTAATTTTACCTGATTTTCTTACCTAAATTATGTTTTTCAGTTCCTATTAATGTTAACTCAAAGTACAAAGTTTGAAGTGCCTGCAGGTAAAATATTCTAAATAAAGATTTATATTTAATATTTTTTTTTGATATTTTCAAAATTGGGTTTGATACACCCATGGATAGTGGTGTAACTTTAATTGGTGGTTAGTGTTCTCGGGTTAGTTTTAGCTTCCATTGGATATTTTTACTTTCAATACTTTTTAAAAAGCAAAAATTTTTTTCATGTGGTAGTTTATTGTAAGGATTAATTTTGTTTTCTCCAATTCATAGCTTGCATCTCGAGTTGTTCCTTTTGCTGGTGACAACCAGATCGTCTTACAATTGATGATTTTTCTTCTTCTTTTAATACCATATGCAGTTGTCCCTGTAGATTCCTTCCAATGTCTGCTGTCAACTGCATACCTTATGTTGTTAAGATTATATATATTGTATCAGAAAACA